AGTAATCTTACAAAAAGCAAACAAAATCGGCAGAGGGGATAATTCCTCAGCAGTTTTATGGAGCTGTCCAATCAGGAACAGCTGTGGGTACCTCTGCCTGTTCCACAGCCAGGTGTCTGCAGGGCACATCTGAATTCCTCGGCTTTCATTTGGTGTGGTTATGGTGACTATTGGAAAATCCTGGGCAGAGGGAATTGTGGGCCAGGTTTGGTTGCTGCTGCTTGTTTGTGTTCTAAGTTCTCACTGTGCAAGGACTGAAGCCCCAGCTGCTTCTATTGCTGCTATAATTGAGATCTCTGAAGTCAGCCAGGGAGGTGGTGCTGTTCCCTCCACCTCTAAGTGCTCACAGTGGAGATGTCTCTGTCTGAGCCAGCTGTCTGGAATTGATGGAAAAGCTCCAACATGCAGTATTTCATCCTACTTCCTTTGAACACCAGCCTCAGGATGAGTCAGCCCTCTGGAAGTTCCTGGTTATCTCATTTGTTTGCAGCTTTGGTGGCTGCCAAGGTTTAGCAGTTTCCATTCCCAATACAGCCCTGCAGAACTGTAGCTGTCAAGTCTGTCACCCTGTCCTGGCCAACGTCATCAGTTCGGCCTCAGGAGGTGAGGGGTTGTGACATTCTTTGCCTGATGAGAGTCACAGATCTCACAGCTTAGCCATACCTCAGGGCAATCAGACTTGGGGAAGACTGGCATTGTATTTTCAATCATTGTCTCTGAGAATCTGCCACAGAATGAACAGAAGAAATGCCTGCTGTATAAATTACTGCTTTGAGGGTTATGCATTTGATATGTTTCCTTCACTGCCCTGAGTAGGAAAAATTTCCTGGCACCTGTAAACATTTACTCTGTAAAATCTGAGTGTTATCAAAACACCTTGTAGGCAAGGGAGAGGTGTACTTGAAAGTAATGTTACATTCATACTTTGTTACCTAATGCCACCTCTCTGGGCAGTAACAGGCACTTTCCTGTTGTCAAAACAAAATTTATATCCACATAAAGGCATACAAATTTTCCTACACGGTACTAACATGCCAACAGGCACGTTTATGAGCAGGATATGTCTTTCCAGAAGCAAGTTCCTCTAGGATGACACTGTAGGGCTGATTAGTATATCTGAGGTCTGGCTATCTGAATTTTTGCCCAGTAAGATAAGCCTGATAAGTCATTTCATTTACACAGTGCTTAAACTGTTTATTAGGAAATTACTTTTGGGGGTCTTTTTCCCCTGCCCCACAACCCATGTAGATTTTGGCCTGAAGTAAAGCCACTCTGGGCATCATTGTTTTGGTTGTCTTTTCCCTGTCCTGCTCCCAGGAGACTCACCAGCAGCTTGCAAACCAGAAGAACCTCTACGTGGTGGAGTTCCGGGAGGAGCAGGGCCCTCTGCCCATCGTGGTGGCCCTGCCCGAGGGGACTGTCCGTGAGGAGCCTGAGCCAGAGGATGAAGTTCTAAACACAAAGCTGGAGTGGAGGGAGGTGAAAGAAGCCCAGGGAATGCTGAAATCTCCCTGGGCAAGTGCCAGACGGGCGGCGTGCTGACAGCTTCCGTCCCTCTGTCTCCAGCTCAGGTGCAGCTGGGAAAGCCTGGCTCAAGACAGGGTGTCTGGGCTTGAGTTTCAGAGGAGGGCAGCAGTTCTCTCATGCCATCCCATGTCACTACTGCCATCCAGGAGCACTGTTTGCTTTCCCACAATTCCCCTGACCATTGTCTGAGTGAGAATGTTCAGATGGAAGCAGTCAGTGAACGTGTCTTCAGCTTCACGCATGCATTTATTCTGTTCCAGAAGACGGTTTGTAATTGAGATCTCCCACGTTTGTTTCACAAGTTCTTGGGAAACCGTTGAAAATACAAGATTGTGGAAGCAATAAAGAATCATCCGAGTGGGTTTAGTTTGGGTTTTGGTTTGTTTTTTTTTTGCAAAATGCTGGTGTCTGGGAGATACTGAAGCAAGCAGCAGGAGTGGGGGTTCATGTGTACACCCCGTGTCTCACTGCCAAGGCTCAGAGGTTAAATTCTGTGCCTCCAAACTATGTGTGCCTGTCATGGCATTTCCCTAAATGCCAAAAGATGCTTGGGCCAGCACTTTTGTTAGTATGGGAGAAAATACCTTAGAAATCCTTCAAGACCAGCCTGGGAATTTACATATGGAATTCTTATGTTAAAGACGTTTAGGAGCAATGTGTCAACATGGATTTCAATGCAAGTTTCTAAAGGCAGCAGTTGGGTATATATAGACAGGCAGGGTAAATTTAATTTTTATCTCATTCTTGCAATGAAAATTCTAATTCCAAGGCCATGCCTGCTGAGCAGTGGGATGAAGGTTTTTTCCTGTTTGCCAGCTCAATCAAAATATACCTTCAGTAGGGATTGCCAAGTGTCCAGGTTGCAAAGTTTCTTGTCATCAGCACATCAAGCTGCTGTTGGGAATGTGTGCTCACGTTCAGCTGGTATCTCTGCTGTTGAGCTTAGGTCCCTACATAAAATTAATCTTCTATTGCTTTACTGTTCCCACAGGTTTGTTCACAGTAACACAGGGGCTTGTGTAGATATTTTACCCAGCTCACAGACAGGGCTGGCTGTAAAATGAGAAACTCCTGCATTTTCCATGGAGCTGGGTGTAATTTTTTATTAAAAATCAAATTCTTCTCCTGCAATTCAGAAGAAAATTAAGTTCTCCTAACTCATTGCATTGCTGGAGGCAAGGTATCCAATATGCAAATATTTGGAGAACAGTTTACATGGTGGTTAAACCACTTAGTTAAGCAAGAGCAACCAAGATTACAATCTGGGTAATAGTTAATGAATATGTCTGCAATCTTGTTTTTAATAGGAACTGAGGCTTTGCCTGCCTTCAAGGGCACAGATTTAACTAGCATGTAATTGCCTGCTCTGCAGAGCAAGTGCCTGCAGACCTCCTTGTCCTGCTCAGGAAGCTGGAGAAGAGCAAAGATGAGAATTCCACGAACACAACCAGATGAAACCTGGTGGTGGCTGCAGGGGCACAGTAGGCCCAGTGTTTCAAAAGTGTGAATGGGACTTGTAAATGCTCTGGGGAAAAAAAAAGCACCTGATTTGTGGCTTTTTAAAAGGGCTGCTCCATCCAGTTCCATCTGCAAGGGAATCCCAGCGATGGAGGGATACCAGTCCAGAGGGATTTGGGAATTCGTGAGCAAATGCAGGGCACAGGATGAAGCAGCCCCACATTTTGGACCAGGCTGGGAGTAGCCCTGCAGGCAGGGACTTCAGTATCTGTGTTCAACAAACTGCAAGGGCCAGCCCTCCCACATCCTGGGGAGCCCTGCCAGTGTGCTACTCACTCCATGGAAGTATCCCCAAGGGAAAAGGCTTGCTAGCCTGTAGGGTCCATCATGCCCAATGTTTCCAGCAGGGTGACAGCAAATTCTCAGGTCAATGCTTCCCTCAGGGCTGTCTGTGGGAAAGAGATGTGCTGCACACGTGGTCTGTAGATCCTGGGAGATCCTCTGAGCCCTGGGCAGCATCTTTCACTTCAGGAAGTAGGGACTTTCCAGACAGCTCTCTTGGGCTGCCCAGCTTCCAGGCCATGTCAGTTTTCAGGGCTGTGTTGAGATGACTGCAAAGCTGGTCATGATCAACCTCTTGTGTGTCATTTTCTCTCCACTGTGCAGGGAAGGTGCACATTGCTGCCATTCAGCAGCCACCCCTCCCTGTACCGCTGTCCTGTGCTGGGGCCCTGCAGCCCTTTGCCAAGCAGGGACACCCCCTGACCCTGGGGGTGCATGGCGTTGAACTCAGGGTCACACCAGGAGGGTGTCAAAGTTCCAGCTCCATTTTCTGGCCCTCTGCTGGGGGAAGTCCCTTCCATCTTTGCTCCCCAGGCCACAGCTTGGCCCAGGTGACACCAGGGCCGCAAAGGCTCCCTCTGTGCCCCTCCCATGGACACTCCATGCCAGCAGCACCTTGCTGTTCTCCCTCAGTGCTGCCTTCCAGCAAGGCTGGGCTGATGCAGTGGAGGAGGCACTCAGCAAACAGGGTGGGGACAGAAGGACATGGAGGGGGTCTGGTGCAGACGTGGGCTGGTGTATGGTGGGCAAGGGGAAAGCAAAGGGCAAAGCAAGGCAGAAGGAATGAGATTGGGGCTGTACTAAGGCATGGGCTGGGAATGTGATGGCCACAAGGCACAGGGACAGGGATGTGAGAGGACAGGCAGCACTGCTGGGTGCACAGGTGCTGAGCACACCTGGGTGCAGGAGGAACAGAGACAGCTCATCCCAAGGCCCAGGGCAGGGCTGCAGATACCTGCCTTTGTAAACCCATCTAAGCAGAAAGGCATCTTTGTGTTCCAATGTCACATTCAGAGGCGTTAATAGAACCTGGGCACCCCCACAAACACCCCATGATGATGAGATGATGAAACCAGTTTCAAAAGGTGGATGTTGAACTTCAGAGCAGTGTGCCATTCTCCAAAGTGGCTTTGAGTTCCCTCCCTGCTCCAAAAAGGGATTCCTCTTTCCACCTTTGTTGCAACCAGTTCCGTGTTGTCACAGTAACACAAGCCAAACAAGTCAGGCTGGTTTTCAGCGAAGAAAAAACCCAAATGTTTTCCTTAGTTTGCAATTAAAAAGCTTCAAACCAAACCCATGGTCACAGGTCAAAAGTTTGCCTGAATATGAAGCAATAGAGGAGCCTCCAAGTGAACTTTTATTTCTCTCTTGTCCTCTAGTCCTTGTTGTTATCCAGGGACTTCAGACTTTAAATGGAAGCATTTTTTGCCCCACAGGCTGGAAGAGATAATTTGGCATCACTGTTTTCTAGGCACCTCTAACATTTTCATAATATCTCTTCCTGGGTCTAAACCCCATTTCAGTTAATTCATTGTCATGGTGTAACCTCAGCTGGCAACTGAGCTCCACACAGACACTCATTCAACCCCCGTGGTGGCACTGCCCTGTCAGAGCTGCTGGGGCTGTGCTTGGGTGCAGCAAAGGGAAAAAGAGCAGCAAGGACTCACCCGTTCTCAAAATCACAGCAAACCCATCTTTATTAGTGACAGCGTGGCAGTGTTTGAGAGAATAGCCATTCACCAAAAGCAGGAGTTGATTGCCTCTGCTTATTGAGGATTGATTTGATTCTGATCACCCAAAGAATTCTTCTACAGCTTACTGGGCCCCTTTCAGGTTTTGCTTTGTAGGGGGATCAAAGGCAGTGGTAATTCCTGGCATGCCTCAGAATTCAGCAGCACCCTTTAAGAGCTGCAATGATCCACATTGCTCCTGAGCCGTGTTAAATACTGTCCCCATTGCTCATCAGAAGTCAGAGAAGGCATTTTCAGAAACTTCATGAAAATATTAATTTGTACAGTGGTGTTAGGTGGGGAAACAAACTTAAATGGGTACACAGCAATTAAAATGACAGTTTCACAATTGTGCTCCTTGGTGCTTGTTCATTTTTTCCTGGATTCCAGTAACAACCCTGGACACATAAAGGTGCAGTCCAGGGATATTTTAGCCCTTTGAACCCAACTATACTATTTTAAAGCTGGGTGGGGGTTTTTGGGTTATTTTTTTTGTTTGGTTTTTTTTTTGGCCCCAGCATTGAACTGTACCCAATCTGTAAGATACTGAAGGGAAACAGATTGTGCCAGGATATTCCTTTTTCTGGCAGGTTCCTTGTTTTCATCACCAAGATCCCACATAAAAAGCTGCTTGTTTACAGGCTATACATTAGAAGAGGAAACCCAAACCCAGCCTGGAGACAGCAGTCGTTGTTCCTGGCGTTGTTCAGGCTCTCAGGATGATTTCCATCGCAGGAGCGAGAACACCTTGTGGATCACGTAAACCAGGGTGGCCACAAAAGCAAATACCTGTGATGGAAAAACACCAGCCAGTCAATTTTCTGTTGCTTAGTGCCACTCCAGCACTGAGCACACGCCTCATGACGTGCCACATATCTGGGGACATCCATGCATGGTGAGACAGCAACTGGTTTTTCTCCCCCCTCCTCAAATTGTTGGTTTTGGTATCCCAAAATTTTGGTATCCAAAAATAAGATTTACACTTGAGGCCACTCCAGAGCCACCTGCTGCTGTTCCTTGCCCTCCTGCCAGGCACTCACCACGGCAGCAATGTTCTCCCTGTACGCCTGTCCTGGGGAGAAGCCAAGTCTATAGGTCATGTAGGCTTCCAGCACTGCAGCACTGAGGTAGAACAGCGCTGCTGTCTCCTGGCAGATGACATCCTGAGAAACAAGGATCACACAGTCACTCCAAGGGTTGACTGTCCATACAACCATTCCCAGCCTGTAGCTTGGAGTGCAGCAGCAGCACCCTGCTCTGCAGAGCACAGCCAGGCAGGGGAGGCCTGGGGTTTGTCACAGGCACGTACCAAGGTGACCCAGCAGCTGCTGCCACCGCCATGAGCCCCGCAGAAGTAGAGGCACAGGAGGCAGATGGACATGACGAAACAGAACACGGAGACAAACATCACCCAGCCCTGCAGCATGGAATCCGGGATCCTCGAGGATGCCACCAGGATCCACACAAGGCCCCCAAAGATCTGCAAATATCAAAGAAGGGAGCAGGGTGAGTGTGGGATAAACTGACTTGCATCTGGCACTGCACATGGCAACAGCCCATGATTTCTTCCCAGCCTCCCCTTGAAACGGGGCATTTAGCTGGGAGCATCTGCTACTGATTCTGACTCAAAAAAATCCTCACTGTTGCCCTGCCTCCTGGTGCCACTGGCACTCATACCCTTCCTACACCAGTGTGCTCAGGAGGCTGGTTCAGACCCTTCTGAGGACTGGCTTTAATGAGCAGGGAGATTTAGGAGAGGTGTGCTTCACACCCAGCATGACAGATGCCTGCCAGAACTGTCAAACCCGGCCCACCTGCACAAACAGCACAGACACCTGCCCTCACAAAGGCCACCTGCCAAAATCACTCTGAAGGGAGAGAACAGGAGAGGTTTGACTCTCTGGGTAGGGGAAATGAGCCTGAGGCTCCCAGCTCCTGCTTGGGAAAGGAAGCTTGTATTGCTGCTCCAGCTCTTTGGGTCATCCTTCATTGGCTACACCAGGACTGTGCCTGGTCCCAGCTGCTGGTGTGGGAGCAGGTGGGACGTTCTCAGCCAGCCTTGGGAGTTTTCCATGGGTTTTCTGGTGGTACACAGGGACAGATATGTCTAGGCTCCATCCCTTCACCAGCAGACTCCTGCACGAAGATGGGAGCATGATGTTCAGTGTTGTGGAATGTCTGGAGTGCAAGTGGTGCCTTTGCACTTAAATGCTCTCAGTAGCTTTTCTGTGCCACAAATCTGCCCAGTTGTTGCCCTGTGCAAAGTTTAGTCTGTGCAGCACCCTGTGATAAAGAGCTCCAGAGCTGAACCCACACTGTGTGGACCAGTGCTATTTTGGGGACCTATCCCTCACCACCCGCCAGTCTGGGATTCAGGCAAATGTCCAGAGGTAGGAGAGCCTTGCTGACTCTAAGGTCATTCTGATCCTTGTATCGGCCAGAGTATCCCAGTCAGAATTCAAGTGCCAGCTCCTATTCATTTCCATTTCCATGGGATTTCCATTTCCTTCCAGGCATGTTGCAAGTGAAAAGAAAGTTTCTGATTTATGATAACTCAGAAAATGTTACATCATTTGCGTCACCCCACAATTGTAGGAAAGCTTGTTGGTGCCATTATACAAATTGACACATTACATCAATTATGTGGTTGAGACGTGGCAAAGACCTGAGAGAAAATGGATCTTCCAAAGTGCTGCTGCTCTGGTCCCTCTTGTAACCAAAGGCTGACACTTGGACGCTAATTCAGTCCTTTTAATCACTCATGTGCGGACATAATGAAAAAAATCCTAAAAAAAATCCTGAGGAGAAGTGTTATGGCTGCTCCGTTAAAATCAAGCACAAATTATGGTGAGATAAGAGGTTGGGAAAAGAAGTACCACAGCTCACTTCCTACCACTCACCATCTCTCCTTCCTGCAGGCTGTGGTTATTCACTCAGAAAAGTCTGTTTGACATGGTTTGATTGTTGATTTTGGGTTTATGGTGAAGATTCATAAAAAGGAAGGAAGGATTGAGAGGCTTTCAATAACTCACAGCAGGATGTGGACAGCAGTCTAAGAAAAAAATTATCCTTTAAATGGCTTTTACAAAGCAAACATATCTGTTTTCAGCTTGTTTCAGCTTTCCCCCATAGGTCTGCGTATCCATATGTGCAGAAAATTCTTCAAATTAAATAGATTACAAGAATTAAACTGAGCCTCACAGATTAAAAATGGTAGCTCTTAATCAGCCCATGCAAATGTGGTAATCATCTGAGCTGCAGGTAGGATCTTCTGAAAATTTCACAACCATCTTAGCATTTAAAATGCCAATTTTGTTTTGTTTTGTTACCATCTTGGCCCATGGTAGGCAACCTGAGATTCCACTTTATCCCTCTGAATGCTATGATTCAAGGCAGCCACCTCATTTGTACACAGCAGAGGTCACACAGCTGTACAGCCCAGAGTCTTCCTGGAGATGGAGAAATCCAGTTATGCTGCATTCCTCCTTCCTGGGTGGTTCCTGGGCCTTCAAGAAGTACATTTCCAAGTCTTTCCCAAACCAAAGGATAGGGTGCTCATTTCAGCAAACTGCCCTTCCAAATTCCCTGGAGAGAGGGATTACAAACAAAACAGTTCAAGGGGAATGAGCTCGATGAGGCCAACAGCAGGCTCAGCGCCAGGGCTAACACACCTCAGTGGCAGGGGTGGCTGGCAAGTGTCTGCCCAGACAAAATCTCCACAAGGACTTAACATCCTCCTCCATGCAGCTGCAGGAAACCTGGACCTTGCTCTCAGGTCTGCAGAGCCCGGCTGGAGCGGCTGAGGCAAAGTCTTTCTCTACATCCTCTTTGCTACATTGTTATCACCAGGAGAAGGAAGGGAATGCTGTAAATCCCAGGAGTGTGGACCAAGCTAGGTGACAGGAAAGGATTTGGTGCCAGATGACAAAACTGAAATTTTTAGCATGAAATAATCTGAATGCCATCCTATAATACATAGCCAGAGCTTTCAATCCTGGACCAAAACGCTCAGAATTTGAAAAAAAGCCTCCCAAGCTCTTGTAAGAAGAGCACGTTTCATGAATGGGGCAGAGGACATAGGGGAAAAGGTTCAAGTTGAGATTTTGCATTTTATGACCTATGCTCAGAGCAAATGCTTTTAACCACATGGGCCAAATCCAGTAAGATTATTATCACCTTCTGCTCAATGAAGTTACAATGTGGAAAGAAGTTGCAAGGTGTTTGCTCACCCTTTGCTCACCCACACGCCCAGGTCCAGCAACTCCGCATCTGCGGCTCAGGAATGCTGCGATGGAGCAGCACAGCCTCGGCTGGTCGGGCTCTTTGCTGCTGCAAACAATTCCCTCAGCTCACCCTAAGCCCCTGTTTCAAGCCAGCAGCTCATCCTCTACCTGCACCATCCGCTAAAATCACCTTCCTGTTAATTAAACGGCTCCATTTGGCAACCTACTGTAAACCCACCAGCAACCTCTGCCGGGATTTTAGGCAGGAAATTACAACGTTTTTCAAAGGCACCAGAAAAATCCCACTGCAGACTACAGAAGAGCTTCAGAGCCTCACGCCCTGTGGTTTTCTCCGAGGATGAGCTGCCCCCAGCCCGCTGTGGCTCAGGGACATGGCACAGGTCCTGAGACATGTGTTTGGGGACAAGTGTCACCCCTCAAACACCTGCAGCATAACCTGTGCTGAGTGCCCAGCCAGCAGCCACGGCCCTCCCCCAGGGAAAAGTCAGCACTCACGATTTCAGGAATGAAGAGCACATCTGGGAAGGTCGTCAGGACCGCCAGGCCCCTGGGCAAAGTGCTGGTGGAAGCTGAAGAGGACATTGGGAGGCTCTGGCACGGTGATTATCAGCCACTCTGCTCCTCACTGCTGAATGCAGCCTCCTTACACCTCCCTCTCTTTCTTCTTCCTTTCCTCCCCTTCCTGCTCTCCTTTCTTCCTCCTTTTCTCCCCTTCCTGCCTCGGTTTCTTTCCTCCCTGCTTCCTGCTGTCAGATGAAGACAGCTGTGAATGGCACAGGTGTGGCCAAACCCTGTGACCTGGAGTCACATGGGAGGTGTTCGGGACATGCAGGGGCGGCCCCGGGGCGTTGGGAGCAGAGCCAGGCTGTCCCCGAATGGGCTGAGCTTGCCTGGCAGGTCCCTGGGCAGGGCCGAGTGGCACTGGGGTGATAGCTGAGGGCAGCAGGGGACACCTGTGCTCATCTACCTGGACAGCATCACATCCCTTTTTATTTGCACGGTGAGCCAGCGGGGCCCCCGCACACCTGAGGTGGTCACAGCAGAGTTCACGAGCGTGGCTGGTGGCCAAGACAGGCCAGGATGTGACAGTGAGCAAACACTGGAAACGTCCCAGACATCCAGGGATGAGGGCAATCAAACTGCAGAGCAAACCACTTCCATTATCGCAGAAAGATATTGGAAATGCCAAGGTAACACGCATGACCTAAAATGATGAGACTTCCCAAGTAGTTTCACTTCTTAAATTTTTCCTTTTTGTCTGTAGTCCATGGGAGCAAGTCATTCCCCTTCTTCATATGAAATATTTACTCCTTTTTAACACCCTTGGGCACAAAGCAAAAACCACAGAATTCCAGAGGCTAAGGTCAGAAAGTGCAAATAAAGGATTTTCTTTGAGAAAGGAAGACAGTGTTAAAACTGCCCCTTGGAGAAAGCAGTGAGGCAGATGAGTGGAGGACGCTGAAACAGCAGGAAAATCGGGCAAATGCTTTTAATAAGCAGATTAAGTGAGGGGCAGGGTTACATGGCAGAGCAAGCACAGAACCACAGTGCTGGTGGGGCAGGGAAGGGGTGGTATGGATGCTTCTTACCCAGACCCTGAGCTCTATTATTTCCAGTCTCTTGAAGCAAAAACATCTAAGTAGATAATGCCATCTTTCTTTTTTTCCAGAGGCCTCTTCTCACTTAAATGCAGAGCCTGTGCTGACCTTCATGACTTCCTCAAAAGTGGGAGAGTGTTTTTCCTGCATCCACCTGATTTCCCACTTCTCTAGGGAGATCCTATTTGCCCTAAAGTGATACAGCTCCACCTAATGGATGAAAACTCGGATATGAGGCAGACCTAGAAACCAGTCAGCAAAGAGGGAGAGCTGGAAGCATTGGGAATGTAGGCATTGGAGCTGGAGACACAGACATAGCTCCAGAGGGGTCTCACTGTTTCTGTAAGGGATGGAGATGAAGCTCTCCTGTTCCTGGGACCATGGGATTGGTGTGAGGAACAAGCAACTGCATTATGAGGGGCAGGAGCACTGGTGCTTTTCCATTTGGAAGGGCTAGGATAGCTTTAAAGAATCCCTTCTTTGTCTTATTTACAAATTTTTGGTGATTAATTAAAAAACAGGAGGTTTAGTAGAACCCTGGGTTCAGTGGTAAAGATGCTGAGACCAGCTTGATCAAACTCCTTTAAATTAGGCCTCTCACGAGGGTGCTCCTCCCAACTGAGGTGGGCATCAACAGGGATGTGGAAGAGCCTGGTAGGGAAGTGAGAGACCTGTGTTTTGAGCAGAAACCAAAGAGCTGGTAACATCTGACTGAAACATGTTCTGCTGAGGACAACACAGAATCTAGAAGTTGCAGGACAATCAACCTCTTCATACTACAAAAGATCAGTCCCAGTTTTCCCAGCGTATCTCCTTTAGATGCATGAAGATCATTCCTGTGAGTGGGAACACCCCTCAGGGACACCTCTGGAGGCTGAGTGACACTTGCCCATGGTTAGTGACATGGGTGAGTAACATCAATCTCTGATAGTTATTAACCTAGCTATATTATTGGTGCAATAAACAGAGCACTGTATTAGCAGCCGTATTGTGTAGTAAATAATTCTGAACAGATTGTTGTTTTGCCATTTTGCATTTTTATCTTTTTAGATTTTCATCTAATCATTATCATTGCAAATTTAAATAATAGCAGTCATTTATTCATCCTTGTCCTTGTCAGGTGCTGGCCATTTGAAAGAAAAGGATGACATGACAGGGTTCCCTAGGTAGGTATAAACCACTAAGAGCTTTCTATTCTAGAAAGATTTATCTGAAAGAGATACCTGCCCATACAGAGTTTTGGAACAGGTATCCCAATACTGGAGGTGAGCTCCAGAATGAGGATGAGGATGCCTTTACCTGTTAAGGAAAGCACCTCACCCCACAATTGGAGGCACAGGAAATGGTGCTCCAGGGAGGTAGAAACCAGCAACAGCTCTTTCGAGAGAACTTGTGTTAAGAGCAGTCCCTGGTGGATGTATTCAACACTAGAGGCAGCATCCAAATTTTGGTGCAAGGCTCCTGGGAGTGGATTGCTCCCACAGAGGAAGTGCCATGAAAGGAAGTGGGTGCTAGACTTTACCTCCCCTGAGGAGCCTCTTATCTGCACGAGGAACATTAGGGATAGCTCCTTGCCTTCCAAAATAAATGTATTTCTTTTTGTCCTGGTACATTTTGCCAGTAGGGACTAGACACTTTTGACTTCAGATCTGCCCTTTGGGTTTCTGAGGCAGCATCAGTGTATTTAATTGTCCAGGAAGTACACAGGGATACAGGCTGGAATTCTGAATGGTGACAGCAGGAAGGTAAAAGCCAACATCGTTTTTGTTGGCACCTTTAGTGGCAGCAGTTAGTGGAGGACTTCAGGTTTGTATCCTGAAAAAGGGAAGGTAAACCACCTCAGTGCAGTTTATAGGTGACAAAAGAAAGGTATAGTCCAGCACTGGCTCTTTCTTCACAGGACCTTCTCTGTGGAAGCAGCTGCTGGACATAGATTCTGAGAGAAGCTGAGGGCACACACAGTGAAAAGAAAGAGCAAAGACCTGCATGCAGTGCAGTTTACAGGCTGCAAGAGGAGGAGGAAGGCCAGGGCAAGCCTTTTTTTCCCAAGAACTGTGTGGAAGCAGTTGCTGGCCCTTTAAAGCTTTGATGCTGGGCTCTGGGAGAAGATGGATGGATGAAGCCAAGAAGGAAAGCTCAAAATCCAGGATGTGGGGCGTAATTCCACAGGTGTGAGACAAACGTGGAGCCAGCAAGAGTTTCGTCATCTGGCAGCTGTTGTGACCAAGATTTTTGCTGTATGTTTACAGTTAAGGTACAAGATCTATGTGACTTAAAATACATATGAAGGCCCAGTTATTTGGAGAAATTTTGGAGGTAGCATCCAAACTTCCTAGGTGGAAATTGCCACTGCATATCATTAACACACCAGCTCTGTCATGCTCAGCTCCCACACTGTCCAGCTACCTCTATATATTATAGATATATGTATATACACACATACAAGTACAGGCATAATTTCCATAGTCAATGGCTGTCCCTCCAAGGTGTCTATAGAGTTTCAGAGTTCTATCCATCCCAGGTGTATTCCAGGGCAGCAGAGCAGTCCATACTCACTGCTCATGGTAGTTATAGCAAACAGTGGAAGTGTCATTCAGCAACCAGTACTATAGCTGTAGAGCCCAGTCTTTGGGTGGGCCAAAAGGAAATGTTCCAAAAATCAAGCAAGAAATTCTGTCTCCCCTACTACAGCTCATACATCTCTGAATTAAAATTCTGTAGTGGTCCCTTGGCTGGAGCAAAGCCATCTCTGCCCTGGACCTTGCTGGTCTCCAACAAGCACTCCAAAGAAGGGGGGGGCAGTTTCCCCTGCCAGATCCCAAATTCCTGCTCTTTGGTTCCCTCTATCCCATCTGCAATGCCAGTGGCTGTAGCAGAACAGTTGCTCAGCATGGCCAAGCTGTGAGGTCAGCCCCAAGAACTGGCACAGCAGGAGAGCTGCTGAAGCTCCTCAGGTTTGGAGGAAATTGCTGACACAGCTTACTCACAAAAAAGGGAGTCAACAAGAAAACACAGACACTAATACTGCTCAAAACTGTCCAGTAAAATCATCACAGTGGGTGAATTTATTTCCACCCTCACTCTCCTCAAACAGAAGAGCAAGTGCTATTCCCCAGCACAGAAGGCTGGGAAATAATATTTTAAGGGTGCCTAAACCCTCTTGAGCATCTCACTGGGATTAGTCTGAGAGGGTGCTTCACACAGCACAGCTTTTAAATCCCCTTTGCACAGAACAGGTGTCACGCTCAACATCTCTGTGGATGTGCTGCCCAGATTTCACAGGCAGTGACAAACTCTGCTAGGAGTTGAGTATCAGTTAGAAAAGCCCTCAAGACCTATCAAGAGGATTCCACTGGGTACACAAATGAGGGGAAAAAAAAGAAAATAAATTTAAGAATTAACCGGATAGGCAAGGAATGTATCAAGTAACAGCCACAGGTTCCTGATGCCAAGATTCTGGTTCAGTACTCCCTCCCCTTCTGAAAAACACAGCTCACACACTTCCAGTGTTGGTTTAGGGTTGTTTTGTGGTTTTGTTTTGTTGAGTTTTTTTAATAAAAGAAGGCTTCCAGATACCTAATCACTATTGTGCTGTTTGTGCAGGACAAAAGAACTTTAAATACTCAAATGCACAAGTCAAAACAAGCTGTTTCAAACTGCTCAGCAGTGCAGGCTCATGCACTTATTTGAAATGGCTTTAGTCTTTGTACAATCAGTTCTATATGTAGCAATGACTATATATAAAGAATATAGTACATACTATTGTTTTCATTGTCAATTTACAAGAGAAAAAAATAAATATTTTCCATTCTTATTATACATTAACACTTCAGTAGAAAGTTACAGCTGTTGTGTTGGCATGACCTGCAACATCAGGAGGAGAAGGGACATGCATACTTATCTATTAAGAACTCTAAACTATGACTTTGTAATAAATTACAGAGGATAGATACCAGCCAACAGAATACCGATTATCTGAATTCAGTACATTTGTGATTCTTGCTCCAGGGTAAAAGCC